TTTCCTTTCATCATAAACAATCTTTTAAAATTCATTTCAGCCAGTATATCACAAGCCCAAACAAAGTCCAGTTTTATCCTGAACTTGCTCCCACTGTTCTATGCAATCTAGAAACTCTAGTACAAAGATTAACTTCCAAGCCTATATACTGTTTCTTGTATCGCACCTACTGGAGATACCTATACTATACTAACACACACTCCATATCCATATCCTTTATTAGGTATTCCCAGACCCATACACTTTTAAATATGTGAGAATTTAATGGTATAGGAGTTAAATCTTTATTACTATCCATAGACTACCACCTATAGATTACTTGCCAAATTATGTGCTTGCATTAGCAAATTACATTGTTTTCAGCACTATGTCAGAAGATCTACTAAGAGCTGAAATCCATGAACCATTGATTTATAGATCTTGACCCAAGTTCATACTTTTATTGAGCTGTGGAATGTCTTCTATATCCACCTTTAAATTACATTTCTATCCACATAAATGATAAACACAAAGGTCTCTTTTAAACATTTTGCCTCCATCAAAAGAGGAGAAAAGGTTAATTCAATATCCATATAAATGAATGGTCAGTGGAATATGTTGCCTGCATAATCTATTATTTGCATGTTGGAAGGTTCAAGATAGTCCACTTCTCTGTCATTAAAGAATAGCACTTTGTGTTGGTACTTTAAACCCTGATAAACAACAGTCGGTGTTTCTACTTTAAATTATGTGTGTCCTTGCTTCAATTGTGTAAAACTTATATTTAAAATTCACCATGAAAAACATGTTAAAAATATTAATGTAAATTTTGTTTGCTCACCTTTCTACCATCAATTTCTAAAGAAATAATATTCTACTGCCATGTTTCATAGAGCAGTGCTCATCATCCTTTAAGATTACTTTTCTTACAATATTTCACTGTCTGTTTAAAAATACAGCCCATACATACTGAGGGTCACCCTTCATAGAACAGTGATTTATTGAACAGACAACTTCAGTTAAGCATTTTTATGAGCTTCTATGTGTGGTAGGATATAACAGCAAGGACATTTACTTGTTCACTTAAAACCTAAGCATAATTCAGATGAATTCTTCAGTCCTTAGACAATATTTTAATACGGCTTAGGCAAACAATAACTTTGCTTACTAAATAAAAAAAATAACATATAAGTGGTAGTCATTAACTACTCAGTACAAAGAAAGTGAGGGAAAGTTTATCAAACACAGTGGTAAAAGCTTTGCAGTGCCAATGTCACTGCAGCATGTTTCCAATCTACTGTAGCAACAGAACAATTGCAAAGCTAACTTTAGAGAAAGATGTTGCTTTGCCATTCTTGCAACAGCTTGGATGGTACTAGCAGTACTGAAAGCCCATTTGTAGATAGGTTTCTACCTATGGATAGTGGTGTTGACAGAACATTGAAGAAACACTTTGAGAATGTACAGAAGTGGGCTGCAAAAAGTCAGGCACTTCCGAGATGACAGCAAAGAAGTATAGAAAACCTTAACACTTCTCTACCACATTGTGATCATTCATATTATGCAGCGTAAACTTGGTAGCTCTAGAATGCCTGGCCATAAATAAAAATAAATTAAATAGAATTGTTAACATAATGGCTTTGTTGACCGTGGATGATAGTGATAGAAAACTTAGAAATATATACAGTGATGTATTTCACAAGCACATATACATATGCAGCATTAGTCTGTTACTTAGAACCAATAGTTGATGACACAAAATCAGAATACTATTTATATCTGCTAGAAGTAATAAGGAAAAAAATGTCCAGGTCTGAACTATTCTTTCTTAAAATCCTATTCTTGATGTTCCTGGAATTGAAGTCAGAGCATCAATGTCGTATTATTAAGGAATCTACTTGGAGGAGTCAACAATCATGGTTAGGAGTTCTCTTTGCCCAACTGTAGTTCCAGCTACAAATAATTTCAGTAATATAAAACTTATGACCTGTTCATCCCTACATAAGATTGAATCTGAATGCCTCAGAATTTCATTCTGTAATTTTAAACTAGATTTCTTTTGAAATATTTACAAAAATTAATAACTATAAACATTAACATTCAAGCACTCTATTTTGGAAATTTCATAGAATCAGAGTTTGTTTTATAATGACTAATTATAAGTATATAATTTTATATACCTATGGGATATTTTAAGGAGTACATAAAATTATAGAGGAGGAAAAGGACCTTTATACAGATAATATCAGTGTTGAAGAAGTGGAGATTAGGAAGTCCATTTAAAAAAATTAGAGCAAGAAGATACCTAGTTTAATAGTAGTTTGTATTAGTCTAATATTGCTGAAGTGTAATGAGACTGAATCGTTATATGAGATGGCTTGCCAATTCCTTAAAACTGGACTGAAGAGCTTTTCCATCCAGAAAGGTCAACTCCCTCTGAGTTAAGTTTATTATAATAATATTAATAAAATTGGAAGGGACCTTGTGGTCATCTAGTCCAACCCCCTGCTCAGGCAGGAAACCCTATACCATTTCAGACAAATGGCTGTCCAGTCTCTTCTTAAAAACTTTCAGTGTTGGAGCATTCACAGCTTCTGGAGGCAGGTTGTTCCACTGGTTAATTGTTCTAACTGTCAGGAAGTTTCTCCTTAGTTCTAGGTTGCTTCTCTCTTTGGTTAGTTTCCATCAGTTGCTTCTTGTCCTGCCTTCAGGCACTTTGGAGAATAGCTTGACTCCCTCTTCTTTGTGGCAGCCCCTGAGATATTGGAACACTGCTATCATGTCCCCCCACATCCTTCTCTTTATTAAACTAGACATACCCAATTCCAGCAACTGTTCCTTATATGTTTTAGCCTCCAGTCCTCTAATCATCTTTGTTGCTCTTCTCTGTACTCTTTCTAGAGTCTCAACTTACATTGTGGTGACCAAAACTGGATGCAGTATTCCAAATGTGGCCTGACCAAGGCATTGTAAAGTGGTGCTGGCTTTTTTGGCAGCTGCAGCACACTGCTGGCTCATATCTAAGTGATTGTCCACTAGGACTCCGAGATCCCTCTCACAGTTGCTACTATTGAGCAAGCTGCCACCTATACTATACCTGTACATTTTGTTTTTCTTGCCTATTCATGGATTGCATATTGGATGTAAATCCTAACTCTCTTCAGAAAAACTTTATCCCACAAGTTTCTTTCCCCTTAACCAAACATCTCAACAGTACTAATTACTGAAGATCATATGTTAACATTAGGTGATAAAATGCTTTGGGGTGAGGTGGGGAAACACAGGCTGAATATGTAGAAATGAAAAACAATGTTGGAAAGTATGATTCTAAAAAACCATCACCATGTACACATTTTTCTGTCACATGAGACTAAGTTGTGGGTACCTCTGTATCTAGTCCTGTTTCTTGAACAAATTCTGCTGCTTTCCATATGCCATTTGGATTGCACATTACTGTAAATATTATGAAAATCTCACTAAATTTAAAATAACTGTAAGTATAAGAACTATTTTAGAACTGGTAGACTAAGGAAAGAAGTCTGGCTATACCACATGAAGTCTAATTATGTCTCAGTGCTTGTATTTTTTTAGCAGTTTAGTTTGTAATTCATAGGACAACATACATTCGAAATATAATATTTTATACTATCAGTTTTGGACACTGAGGTCTATCCCAGTGATCCATATTGTAATTTCTTTTTTAAATTGGGCTATTAATTTGCAGAAATCTCCTGATGTAGGCAATGTGTTTAAGCTTTTTTCACTAAAATATTAAGATACTAATTGTGATCAGTTAATTAATGGGAACAGTTTATGACCAATGAAAAGTCTTAATTTTAATTTAATCAGTGGGTGGCTTTTGCAATTATGAATCTCAGTTATACTATTCTGAATGAATAACTTTTACATTTCAGCTAAAAAGAAATGATACTAGCTTACTAATGAGTCATTGTGTAAAATTTTGGGGTATTTTTTTTAAAAAATGAAAAATACATATAATTTTTATAAGTATGTTAATGAGAAATATCTTTTTCTCAACCTGCACATCTCATTTTCCAGGCAAAATGCATTCAAGACCTTATCAGTCTCTATATGAGTATTCTTTTTAGATAATACTTTTTATTATGGATATTAAGTTGGGTATAAGCTTCACTAAACTCAGTGTGAGCTATTTCTACCTAACACTGCATAGGATCCATGTTTTAGTCATTGATCTAGAACAGACTTATGTTCTCCAATCTGTAAGATGGCCTATGGGTGATTGCTAGGAAACATGGGAATTAGTCCAACACATTTAAAGGCCATGAGAATGTTACAAAGGTTGACTTAGAAGTAACATTACTTCTAAGTAACATTATTCATATCTTAATTACACTATAGTAATTCCACCAAACTCCACTGAATTTCTTCAGATTATTGTTCCTTCTTGGAGAACATCTCTTTCATGATAGAGGAAAAAGAAATGTTATATGTGTTCAACTTTCTGCAATTAACTTAACACAAAAGTTTATTGACAGGGTACTGGTTGATAGGTTAAGATTTACAATAACTTTATTGCAGTCATTAACCAGCACATTAACTTCTTGCAGTGCATTACTCTCCAACAAACCCATAAGAGCTACATACTGGAAACTGGTTATTTATTTTATGTACTCATGTTATTCCCTTTCAGGATAAACAACATTATGTAGAATACAGAAAATTAGAAATATAATGGATTTTTTTAAAAAAATGAAGAAGAAGAAGAAGAAGAAGAAGAAGAAGAAGAAGAAGAAGAAGAAGAAGAAGAAGAAGAAGAAGAAGAAGAAGAAGAAGAAGAAGAAGATGATGATGATATTCTACTTGAATATATCACAGCAAATCACAAACTCTTTCCAAAGGATGCTTCTCAGTTAATACTACAAAAGCTGCACTGAATTGTAAAGGCTTGCTTTACTTAGGATAAATGAGAGCAGAAATTTAGAAATCCTCCTAACCTAAAAGAGGATTAATCCCACCCTGTTATTTTCACTCCCGCTACGTTTCCCAAACTTTTCTCAGAGACAGACTAGATAACACCTATTCAAACCTCAAGGAAGCTGACTTTATCTAGGCGCAGAAGTCACCAACTATTCTCTCACCTCTGGTGGCCATCTGGAAAAATAGGCGGGGCCGGGATGCCCTGATGGCCGCTGATAAGCTGCCTTCCCTGCCCAAGAACGACGCCTTCCTTTCGGGCATCAACCGAACTCTCAGCCTGCCTTCCCCGGAGCGGATCCACCAGCTGAATTCCTCGGTGAGAGTAAACTCGAGCCGGCTCGCCGTCGCCACGACTCCTGCCTCGGAACGCCAGGCACAGTCGTCCCTTAGGTTGGTTTCTCCCACTTCCAGCACCAGTTGCTTGGCGCGGCGCAGCTTGCGCACCGCGCCGGCTTTCAGCACCTTGGACTGGGTTCTGGCGCGGCCGGCGGGCTCTGCGGCTCCGCTCCTTGGCGGCCAAGAGCTAGCGGCGCGCAAAAGCGGCGGGCAGTCCAGCACCAGGCTGCAGTGCGCCTTGAAGCCGCCCAAGGGTTCGCCTCTGCCCCCGTCACCCAGCACCAGCTCCCTCAGGTAGGTTCGGAACAGCGACGGCACGATGAAATCCATCGCTAAGCTCTTTCTCTGTTGCCGGGAGAAACTCGGTGCATCTCGGGGCGGCTGCTGGCCGCCAGCTCGAGAGCCCAAGAGGGGGCTGCCTGCATCCACAGTTCCCCCTTGAGTGGCAAAGATAAGGAGATGAGCCAGAAGGAACGGCGGGAAATCAGCGCTTTTCATATTATCAGGCGGCCACAAGGGGAACGGCCAGGTGACAAAAAAAAATTAAAAAATCTTCCCCCCGTCCCAGCCTCTTCCAGCGATCCCCCAGTTCAGTCCTCCCTTTAAGCCAGGTTCGCGGCCGGTAGAGCCACTCTGGGACCCGCTTCTCAAGCCGCGCGGGCGAGCGTCTAAAGGTCTCGCCCTATCCCCGAGGCGCGCTCTGCCTTGGAAGGAGCGGACTCGGAGGGGAAGAGGGTCTCTTCGCTTCGATCTGGCGCCAGCTCCTTTCAGCGGGCTGAAGAACTCCTGCACGCCGGCCGACCCAGCAACCCCGTTCCGGCACACGTTCAGCCTTTTTCCACGTCGGAAGGAACCTTTGGCCGCGTCCACGGAGCGGGCTAAAGCTTTTCCTCTGGGATCTTCCAGCCTCTGCCCAGAAATGCGAGAGGTAGAGAAAGGGGCGTTTATCGGATCGTCCTTTAACGTCCGGCGTTCTCTGGTCTCCAGGCGAGCTGGCTCAGGAAGCTGCGAGCTCCCTTTCACGTTTGGTCGCGCGGCTCCGCATCTGTCCTAAGCCAGGCGGGCGCTCGCAGGGCTTCTACTAGCGGGACTGAAACGAAGGTAGCCCAAAGAGAGGGTGGTCTGAGGCGGCCTCTTGTTTTAGCGGGAACCAACTCTGGCTAGCGGCGTGACTTCTTTAGCCCGTGTTGCCTTTCCTTCTGCGCTCGTCTTTCCTTCACTTGGAGCAGGTGACGGAGAAGGTGACCAAAAGCCACAAACGAGGAGTATCGGGCAGCTACGCGCGACTCTTTCCCCCCCCCCCTCCTGCTCTTGCCGCTCGACAGGCGGTTTTTGCTGGGCGATTCAGCCTCGCTTCTTCCTCCTCTTCGGCCGCCACCGCCGCCGCGAAGATTTTTGACAGGCTCCAACTACCCGCCACAACCCAAGCAATACCCTGTGAGTGCTGACATCACGCACGAGCGCGGCTCGCGGCAGCCAATAGCCGCCTCAGAAGAATTCATTATGCAAATGAGCCAAGGATCGATAGGGAAAGCTTGAGCTGGAGAAGAGCCGGCCATTGAGAAAGAGAGAGAGAAAAACCCATCATTTTCAGTTTTACGGATGGCGGTACGGGCTCGCGGTTTGAGATGAATGAAAAATCCCTTGAAGAGGAATTTGCCGTTTTGTACTTTCTTTAATTTTATGATAAAATATTAGACGGATCTAACAAAAGAAAAGCCACTGTGAAAATACCATGGAACGCGCTTTGGTCTTTAATTCACCTCCTCTGGCTGCTGGAACTGTAAAATATTATAAATCACCGGCCAGGAGAAATAAGGTGTTTCATACTGAACATAGGAGACGCATAAGGAAGACTATTATAGCAGCAAAGGATAAATGCTATAAAAGCCCAAGGTGCACCGAATATGCTCACTGTTGCTAAATGGCAATGGAAGTGAAATTCTCAAGCTGAAATGCTTTATCTGAAGGCAACAGCTGCCTTACCTGCCTTTTTCCTTTTTATACAACTCTAAACCCTTGCCCAACTCTTTCCCTGTCATTTGGATTTCTCTGGCAATTGCAGCAGCCAATGAGAGTCAGAAAGAAGAAGGAAAGTGGTTTAACTCTTTCCCAGCAACTAGCATATTGCAGTTATATTGGAAAATGTGGTAAATGACCTCCGCAATAGCCCTTAGGAAAAACTTTTATTTTTCCAATCCATCTGCTTTCTGCATTGACTGATGTGTGGTCAAGTCATGCCAATTCTTAGCGACCGAATAGCGATCGTCTCCCTGATGATCTGTCCCTAACCTGATCCTCCAACTCTTCCAAAAGTTCACCATCACTGCTGTAACTTTACTGCTGGTTATCCTCTAATACTGAAAGCTGTAGGTTTTTGCAAGAGAATTCCTTCTTTCCCTTCTATTGTTTTCTTGGAGAACCTGCCCCTTAGCAATGTTGAAAAAGAAAGGGTAACTGAGAGATCTTTAGTAGATAAATAACATAGTAAATCTGAAGGGAAAAAGAAAGGTTTTTAATTGCTTTTGGTTAGCTTTAAATCTAGAATAAATATTACAAGTATTTGAAGCTGAAGTATCTGAGCCTGAAAGTAATTTTTAGTCATCACCAAGGAATAGTGATTTTTTCCCCCCATCATTTAAAAATGATGGCTTGATCCTTCACAACTGGAATTAGTAGGATTTTTTTTTCCCAAGGGAAAAATGGCCTCTTTTTCATTATCCTCATCTTGCCTGTTGCTGAAATCAGCCCAACTTATCAAATAGCTAATAGTAATGTATAAATGATGGCATCAGAATTAAATTTTGCACTTATATGGAATAATTCTGTCTTTCAATCTTCTTGATTGCTGAAGTAAATTATCCTCTGCCTTTGGTAAAAGTTTCCATAAAAGTTCTCAAGCAAGCAATTCCCCCCACACACTCACACACACATACACACATACACACAATTAATAAGCTGTGCACTGGAGTGACTTCTGCATTAATGTGTATTTAATTTTGTTGGCACTATAAATAATAATAGAATGATATATCTTACTTTCCCAATGTAGAAGGCACAATGCGAACTGATACTTCAGTTTTGTTTCCATTCCAGCCAAGCTATGGTCAAGGAACCTAAGACTTCAGCTGAAATATTTGATAAATTCCACTCAATATACTGCATTTAATTTGTATGGTTTATTTTGTTCTTAAAAGGGAGCCTTCAAACCTACTAAATCAGTGATTCTCAACCTTTCTAATGCCATGACCCCATAATACAGTTCCCCATGTTGTGGTGACCCCCAAGTGGGTGTGGCCACCAATAAGAGGGAGTAGGAAAGCTAGAGAAAAGGGAAAAAAATGGCGGACAGCATGGTTTGGTGACCCCCGTGAAATGGTCATTCGACCCCAAATGGGGTCCCGACCCACAGGTTGAGAACCACTGTACTAAATGTACTTTCTGATTTGGAATATTCTTGCCTTACAAAATAAGGACTAGCTATGGTAAGGACTTAACAGTCAACAGAAAGCACTCTGCACATATCCTGGCTGATTTTTTTTTTTTTTTTTTTTTGCAGAAAACTGGTTGCTCATTTTGTTTGTTTGTTTAATTCAATTTCTGCTGTTTTTGTTGGTTTGCTTCTGGGTTTCATGCAGTGACTTTAATATGTATTATTTTTAGTTCACATTGTAAACAACACTGACATTTTAAATGAAAAACCAAGAACTGTTCAAGTGATGAAACACATAAAGGCAGCCTTCATTCTAGGTTTGGATAGACATAATGAGTATTATTATGAACAATATCAGAAATTAACTATTTTCACACCCTATATGTCAAGATAACTGAGGCAGCTTCCCCTTCCCAGAAGACCCTGGCCCCTCACAGCTGCGTGACAAACAAAAATATTCTAGGAACAGGGATAGGAATTTAAGTAGTTTTGTTGATATGCACATTATATCCCTGGTCTGCAAACTGGCACCACCAGGAACCAGGCTATGCAAGTGAGCAAAGCCCCCACACACACATACACACACACACCAGTCTGCAGAAAAAATGCCCTCCGTAGAACCGGTCCCAAAAGGTAGGGAGCACTGATCTATTAGATGATCCCAGCCTTTAATTGCTTCTGTCCAAAGAGTAATAAATATTTATAAATTTAATAAATTTATATGGCTGCCCATCTCATATGCATGGCTCTAGAAAAGCGGTTCTCAACCTGTGGGTCGCTACCCCATTTGGGGTCGAAGGACCATTTCACAGGGGTCGCCAAACAACGCGATCTGCCATTTTTTTCTCAGCCGGCGCAGGGGGCGGCGCCACACATGCACACCGCGCAGGGCGCCGCACAGGGGGCGGCGCCGCGCATGCGTGCCACACAGGGGGCGGTGCTGTGCAGGGGGCAGCCCCACGCATGCGCGCCACGCATGGGGGCGCCGCCGCGCATGTGTGCCGCGCATGGGGCACCGCCGCGCATGCACACCACGCAGGGGGGTGCCGCGCATGCACACCACGCAGGGGGGGCGCCACGCATGCGTGCAACCTGCTTATGACCGGGGTCGCCGGTCTAAAAAGATTCAGAACCACTGCTCTAGAAGGCTAACAATTGCAAACAAAATAAAATCAAAATAAAGCAACTAAATTTGGAAAAAAAATCCAATATCAATGACATAGAACATCTGCCAAGCACATTCACATCTTAAATCAGCCATAAGGCAGGCTCCCCAATACTGCCAGGGCCTCAGGATGGAAAGCAAAGCCCAGGCCAGCAGGGACAATCTAAGTTTAATCTCAGGAAAGATGACATTCCAGAGGGCAGCTGCCATGCTAGAAAAGATTGTCTTCCTGGGTCCTAGTACATGGAACTCCCCAGTGTACAGAGCATGCTCTCCTGCTGGATCTAAAGACAGTCCCATAAGTAACTGAAGCCACAAAATATTTCAGTATCCTGAATTGCACCTGGAAGCATACTAAAGCCATTGTAACTCCCAGGGCAGTACTACCACACATGTCAAATGACCTGCACCTTTAACTGGCCACACAGCTGCATTTTGCACCACCTGAAGCTTCCGATCCTTTTCAAAGACAAGCTCCAGGTAGAGCTTGTTACAATAATCCAAATGGGAAGTGACTAAGGTATGAGTGATTATGAGCAGTCCTATTCTCTCAAAATGCCTCCCGTCTGTTTGTTTATTTAACTGTCTATCATATTTAAGATACAATGTTTATAGTGACGTCTACTAAAAAATATCTGGCATGGAGCTTGGCAATATTCGATGCTGATGCATTGCTTTGCAGCAGATTTATTTTTCATTCACCTCCTTTAAATCAAAAGAAAACAACACAGAATGAGTTAGGATGACTCAGGCAAATGGGGGTAATATCCACAGCTGTACTGGAACCCATGAATGCCATGATAGGGATCCCTTGTAAATAGGGATTAATTACAAAGGAATAACTTAAAAGGTGAAAATTATGTGATGTTTCTAAATGTGATAAATAGATAGATAGATAGATAGATAGATAGATAGATAGATAGATAGATAGATAGATAGATAGATAGACAGACAGATACCATTTCAGACAAATAGCTGTCTAGTCTCTTCTTAAAAACTTCCAGTGTTGGAGCATTCACAACTTCTGGAGGCAGGTTGTTCCACTGATTAATTGTTCTAACTGTCAGGAAATTTCTCCTTAGTTCAGACATGTCAAACTTGTGATGTCACGTGACATCGCATGATGTATCAGAGCTTTTTCTCTATTGCCAGCAATGGGGTAAGCGTAGTTTCCTTGTGATGCGTCCGGCCTATGGCCGGCAGTTTGAAACCCCTGCCTTAGTTCTAGGTTGCTTCTCTCTTTGATTAGTTTCCATCCGTTGCTTCTTGTCCTGGCTTCAGGTGCTTTGGAGAATAGCTTGGCTTCCTCTTCTTATATTTTATGTAAATAGTAAAAGCAGTGGTTACACATTCCTGCCTTGCTCAAATGTGTACTATGAAAAAAAAACAATGATAGGAAAAGATATATTTTCTGTTCTTACAGTATTGCACATTGATGCCAAAGAGATTTTACAAAGTGAAATGGAAGACTTCATACTACTGCAAGGATATTTCTAGTAAAGCGTGTTTTTCAGGACAAAAACCTAGCAATTCCCAACTCAGGTTCATTCATTTGGTATAAAGTACTTAGGGCACTCATATTTTGTTCGTCTTCCATGAGTTAACAGGAAGCACATCCAAACCAGCTGTAGCTATTAAGTCTACAGTG